CTGTCAGAGGCGGAAAACCTGCAAGACCTGGAAAAACTAGGCAGTCCCGTACAATTCCCGCTGTCATAGGTTTCACTGTATATGGAGCCCCTGGGTGGTGTAAGCAGTAATTTGATTTCTAATTTGAAGAAAAAAAAACACTGGCTGATGTCTGCAGAATGGATTTTGAGAGGGACAAAACTAGAAACATGGAGAACAATTAAGAGGGTATTGCAATAGTCTGGGAGAGAGACAGCGGTGACTTGGACTATGGTGTAATGGTTGAAATGGAGAAGATGGGAGAAGTTTGAGATATATTATAATCTGGGCATTACAAACCAAAAACCCATTGCCATCAAATTGATTTCGACTTACAGCGACCCTATAGGACAGAGTAGGACTGCCCCATAGGGTTTCCAAGGCTGCAATCTTTATGGAAGCAGATTGCCACATCTTTCTCCCATGGAGCAGCTGATGGGTTCAAACCACTGACCTTTCAGTTAGCAGCCAATGGCTTAACCACTGCACTACCAGGGCTCCTTAATCTGGGCATTAGGCATCCTATAACACATAGCATCTGCTGGCTAGCCCTATAAAAGTCCATCTTCATCTAGGTACCTAGGACCCGAATCCTAGTTAGCAGGATTTCCACTCCTTTGCTTAAAAACTCCTTACAGGACCTACAAACCCCTCTATAATCTTGTATCCTACCATTCTACTTATATATTGCCGAATAACAAACCACTCCAAAACTTAACAGCTAAGAACTATCATTTTACTACATCTCATGATTTTATGAATTCAGATAAGGCTCAGCAGGATTATTCTTCTCTACTTGGAGATATTCAGCTCGTCTGGTCTGGAGGGACCAAGATGGCTTCACTCACATGCCTGATGCCTTGGCAGGGATGGATGGCTGGGCTTCGTCAGCCTTACAGGGAGGTTCAGGGCTTCAAGACTGAGTGTTCCAAGACAGGAAGAAAGAACTATTAGTCTGTTAAGGCTTAAGCCTGGAAACTGGCACACTGTCACTTCTGCTATCTTCAGTTGGTCCATCAAATTACTAAAATCAGCTCAGATGCAAGGGGACTGGACTCCACCTCTCAACAGAAGTAGGAAAGAATTTGCAGTCATCATTAATCTATGACATCCACCTACCTCTCTCCAATCTCATCTCCTGCATTCTCCCCCTCACTCATTACATTTCAGTCACACTGGCTTCTTTTCTATTACCATGAAACATGGCTCCATTCCACTTTAGGCCCTTTGCACTGTTCCTTCTGCCTCCAGCTCTTATGAATGCTTGGATCTTTCTCATCTATCAGGTCTTGATTCAAATGTCATGTCTGGGGACAGACATCATCCTTCTTCTTACCTTCAAAGCACTCAGCACATTGTGAAATTAATGTACTTGTCTTTCTCTATATTTTCCCTAAATGTAGACATTCAGATCCATACAGGCTTCACGGTTGTACCTCCAGTGATCAGAACAGTACCTGGGCACACAGTAATCTTTTGATTGGCCAAATGTCAATCAGTAGCAGTAATTCAAGAGGTTGAATATGAGATGGAGGCATTCCTGATGGCAAAACTGCACAGAACACTGTGCACACAACACCGTGACCCTGGGGTTCATGGTAACAACAGGCTTAGGTGTCTTCAGTGCCTGCAGCACATCCAGATACAAGAGAGATCCTTAGTAGAAATAACCAGACTTTCCTACCTGCCTTCATACCACCTCATCCTAATGGTTACTCGTAGATTACCCCACCAAACTGGCACTCATTTTCCTTCTGTATCATATTTACGAGACTTGTATTCAGGCTGAGGACTATCCGGTGGAACAGTTGCAACTTATCTGGATCCATAGAAAAACCTCGCATATAAGGGTCCCCCTGCCCCTGCAGCATCTATAACTTAGATTCTCTTTGTCTGGTGGCACCAGGGCAGCCCCAGGTAGCAAAGAGGGGCTCAGCCCGGGGCAGTACCCAGGTCTCCTGAGTCACCAGATGGAGAGGCTAGAGAAAGCACATCATGGTGCACTGCTCTCTATGAAGCCAGGCGTGTGGGCTCACTGGTCTGAAGGGGCCAGAATGCAGAAAGTTCCCACAATTAACCAGACCGCCTCATCTCCTATGAACCATCAAAAACGATACAGCCTCTGACAGGCATCTAAATCACAATTTTCATAGTGTACTTGTATACCTTAAATTTGATACTGGCTGCAAGTAAGCAGTAGAAAAAAAAATTGTAGAGGTTATAACACGGATCCTTGGCCATAAGGGATTGTACCACCAGACTAATTTTTTTAAAGTAGCTTTATTATAAGACTGATATATACTCTTTAATAAGTAAAAGTACAATGAATATATTACATACCCCAAATCCCCTGTGCCAGAGAGAAGCAGTAATGATAACGAGCTCTTTTATACATCTTTTTTTCATCCTTTGTATATATAAGTGTGCATGCACGCACACACATACACACATGCTCACACACAGAATTAAAAAAAGGAGGCCATACTATACACTTTCTTGGTTTACTAGTTTGTGGGCAATCTTCGATATTACTGTAGTTGTACCAAAACATTTTTAGTGGTTTTCCCTTGTATACAAGTACCTTAAGTTATTAACTTATTAAGTATCCAATGGACACTTGGAGTATTGTTTTTTGCTATCGTTAAAAAAAAAAAAAAAAGTCACAGGACTCGGCCATATGCATCCATCTTTTCCCACATGTGCAACTATCTCCCAAGTATAAATTACTATACATTTATTGCCACTTCAAAGGTTATACAAACTGAATTTGATAATCGACAAATTCTTTCCAAAATAACTATCTCTTTTCACTCCAACCAGTAGTGCTTAAGAGTGTATGTTTCCGTACAACCCCACTGATGGTGGATTTGGTTCATCTATTTTACCACTGATAATCTGACAAGTTAAAAATGGCATTTAATTTTTTATCCTAGTATTTTTAATGTTAAAAAAGGTATGAAATGAAATGGGGTAAAAAATAGTATATTCATGATACCAATATACTTCCTTGGAATACACTTAAGAATATACAGAACTCACTTTAGAAAATCTCTAAAAAACACTCCTGAGGGATCATAAAAATATGACTCCATTCTTTGTGGAAACAGTATTTTCAAAATGGAAAAATACCAACATTTCAAAGATAAAAAACTTCTTCCCAAATTAACCTATGAATTCAATGCAATCCCAATTGAAAGTCCACCAGGATTTTGTTTTTTAAATGATTAAATAAAATATTCTTGAAGTTATTACAATCTCTGAGAGGTTTACCTCTGAGGTAAAACGCAATCACAAAAACCTGATGGAATGTGATAGAGATGCATTACACGGAGCTGCCCAGAGAAGGACCTTCCCTATTCCTGCTCTTAGCCCTCTAAGTGACCGGCTTCAGTAAATGTTAATATCATCTTTTATGTTTTATAAAAGCTATCGTTAAACAGAAGAACATGCCATCAGGATTGGAGGAAGACTCATTAACAACCTGTGATACGCAGATGACACAACCTTGCTTGCTGAAAACAAAGACTTGAAGCACTTAATGAAGATCAAAGACCACAGCCTTCAGTATGGATTACATCTCAACATAAAACAAAAATCCTCACAACTGGACCGATAAGCAACATCATGATAAACGGAGAAAAGATTGAAGTTTATCAAGGATTTCATTTTACTTAGATCCACAATCAACGCCCATGGAAGCAGCAGTCAAGAAATAAAATGATGTATTGCACTGGGCAAATCTGCTGCAAAAGATCTCTTTTTAAAGTGTTAAAAAGCAAAGATGTCACCTTGAGGACTAAGGTGCACCTGACCCAAGCCAGGGTGAAGAAGTACAGCCAGGATGCTTTTTAGAAGTGAGGAAGGCGAGACTTTGTCTCATATACTTTGGACATGTTATCAGAAGGGACCAGTCCCTAGAGGACATCATGCTTTGGTAGAGGGTCAGGAAAAAAGAGGAAGACTCTCGACAAGATGGACTGATATAGTGGCTGCAACAATGGGGTCAAGCATAGCAATGAGTGAGGATGGCACAGGACCTGTCCATGTTTTGTTCTGTTGTATGTAAGGTCGCTATGAGTCAGAATCAACTTGACACCACGTAACAAAATCTTTACAAAGGTATACATGAACTTTTTAGCTAAATAACAGCTTGCCTCATAAAGAATATTACCAGTGAGCACTGCACACCTTTAAAAAATTATCTATATGAGACCAAAAGGTCGACAGTTACCCTAAAGCACAGAGGCTGCCCAGTGCTGGTGCTTCCCCACATGTGGGTGAACCTGCGGGCATCATGCTGTGAGGAGATGGGGGTCTCCATGAGTCTCACGATCAGGAACTTCAATACAGTGAACCAGGCAGAATGGGAAATCAGCAAGATGAAGCCCTCTTTTGCTCCCAAGCACCCCTCTACCAAGAGCCTACTTTGAGAGGAGAAGAGCTGCCATCCAGAGACTATGGGAGAAATTGCTAGAAAAGGTGACAAGCTGCTGTCATTACTAAAAAATGTTTATGCTGATTCCAAAGATCCTGTGCCTTCTATGCAGGCAAAAGATGGTGGGACACATCAAGAGCCAAAGGAGTTGAGATTGCCGAAAGGCCATCACTTTGATATGATGGATATTACGAACATTCCCAAAGGCAACGTTTTGATGGCAGAGGCATTGACACTTCTCAATAATCATAAACTTCATCCAGATGCACAGACAGTTGAGAAAATTGCACAAGAACACCATCTAGAACTAAAAGATGTAAAGTCCCTTTTCAGATCCTGCTCCTTTTGAAGTCAAAAGCTTTCCTCCTGAAGAAAGCAATACAACCAAATGAGGAAAATCACAAAATCACTTTTCCTCTGGGTACTCTCGACCCCTTGTCCTGTTTGTTTCCACATTTTTAGCAAATTAAATTATACAAATTGCTGAATGTTTAAAGCTCTCTCTCCTTATGAAAGCACACTATTGAGCTCTGCCGACTTCTTAGGATTGCTGAATGTTTTTTTTTTTAAACTTTAATCTGGTTTAGGCATATGATTATATATGTCAGCGTGACTAATCAGCATAACATCTAGACATTTATTATAACATAAGAATTAATGTGTTATTTTAGGCACTTTGTCTCAGCTTTTACATTGGTTATGTGGCCTCCTGGGCAATGTCCTGAATCTCTCTCATTTAACACACAAAGCTTCGTTTTTCAGTTTAGGAGGTAAGTGAAGGTAAGAGCTTTCCTGGTTGTTAAGACCTTACCTTGCTTGATGGTAAGGTAGAATAATAGTATTTCCCAAATAAAGGCAGACAGCGGACTAGATAAAAATCAATACACAATGCGTTTTTATAACTACTTCAGGAATGGATAAAAATATTACGGGGTTCCTTTGTTTTAGGTATGGAATAACTATCTTTAAAATTGTAAAAAAAAAAAAAAAAAAACAAAAAGCAAAGATGAAAGGGTAAGGGGACAGGGAAACCAGATTACTGGAAGTGAAACATCCAGAAGGCAATTAATGTTAAAATATTGTGAAAAATGTAACCTAAGTCTCTGAACAGTTTGTGTAGTAACTGCTAAATGGGAACTTAAACTTTCTCCAAAAAAACAATAAAATATTAAAAGAAGAAAAAGGCATATATGATATTGGTCTCAATAAGGTGACAAATTGTTCCCACATTTGTCCCATTTATAGTATGTTCCCCCACAAGGAATCTGTGTTCATAATTTGCACCTCTGATACATTCTCACTACTCCCTTACAAAGCTCTCCCCTAGGCAGACTGAGGAAAGTGACCATTTTTACCAGAGCAATTACTATGCCATTTAAGGATTACTCTGCTGTGTAACAGACTCTTAAAGACTGAAGTTTGTGACTAAAGTGCTTTATTTATCAAACTTTCATCTTCTCTTCCTATGCAGACGAGCTAATGACTATGAAAAATTCATCCTCTGCAGCAGCCCTTCATACATGTTACCTTCATAAAGTCTTTCTCCTGGGTTGGCTCGCAAATAAATATTAAGTCCTGAGTTCTAACTACAGTCCTCAAATTACATCTACTACTAATGTGTCTCACTTAAAATGCACTCTCTGATGATTTCGCAGACCTGCGCTTCGACTGTAGCTTTTTCCACACTCCTCACACTTATAGGGTCTCTCTCCTGTGTGGACTCTCTGATGAACTTGAAGAGAGGAGCTTTGACTAAAGCCCTTCCCACACTCTTCACACCTGTAGGGCTTCTCTCCGGTGTGGACCCTCTGATGGCCATAAAGATGCGAGACCTGACTGTAGCTCTTCCCACATATATCACATCTATACGGCTTCTCTCCGGTGTGTACTCTCTCATGGCTGAGCAGACCCGAGCTGAACCTGAAGCCCTTTCCACACTCCAGACACTTATAGGGTTTCTCTCCTGTGTGTAATCTCTGATGGGTGCGAAGATTAGAGCTATAACTGAAACCCTTGCCACACTCATCACACGTATAGGGTTTCTTTCCCGTGTGGACTCGCTGATGTGTGTAAAGATTTGAGGTGCACCTAAAGCCCTTGCCACACTCTTCACACTTATAAGGCTTCTCGCCGGTGTGGACTCTCTGGTGAATGAGAAGTACTGAGCTATAACTGAAGCCTTTGCCGCATTCAGCACACTTATAGGGTTTCTCTCCCGTGTGGACTCTCTGATGAATGAGGAGGTCAGAACTGAAAATAAAGCCTTTACCACACACATCACATACGTAGGGCCTCTCTCCAGTGTGGACTTTCTTGTGACTATGAAGGTCTGAAATCCGCCAGAAGCCCTTCCCACACTCGAGGCATGTAAAGGGTTTCTCTCCTGTGTGGACCCTCTGATGGACTTGGAGGTCCCAGCTTCGGCCGAAGCCCTTCCCGCACTCACACTTGAAGGGCTTCTCTCCTGTGTGCAGAGAGTCAACACTTTGCCTGGAGCCCTGACCACACTCAATACTTGCAGCTGACAGTCCTCCTAAGGGGATGCTCTGATGTCTGTCAGGATAGGCACCCTGCCTCACATATTCCTGATATTCATAGGGTTCCTCTTCCAAGTGCACTTGTGGATGAGTGGGAGGGTTTGAATCATCCCTGAAGCCATTTCCACCTTCCTCACTTTTAAAGCCGTTCTCGCTAGAGTTATGGTGATAAAGTATTGCCTCGTCAACACAGTGATTTTGATACTCATCGCATTCATAAGGTTTCTCTCGTTCAGGTGGGCTGTGATCATTGCGGCAATGGGATATCCAGCTGAAGCCATAATTGTTCCAATCACATTTATATAGCGCGTCTTCCCTGCTGATTTTTTTACAGCCTCCTTGATCATTCCAAGGCTCATTCACAAGGGCCCAAGATTCCTGAATGGGGACCGGGCTCACAGCTTTCCAGGCTGGAAACCGTTGATTTTCTACACTGATGGGGCCATTCCCTTGAAGACTGTCCACCACATTCTCAATCTGAAAACCCTGAGTCGATCTGCCTTCCCACTCTTGACAGCGAGAAGCATCTTCCGAAAACTGGAACTCTTTCCCTTGAAGATTCCCTCGGTGGTCCTGACTCCCAGTTAATTCACCAGTCACCTGTTCCCACAGTTTCCAGTAGGAGAGCTCTTTGTGTAAAAGGACTTTTAATTCTTTTTCTTGAATATACTCCATATCCTTTTCATTCTTGTCTCCTATGGGGTTAAAGACAATTCAGAGATGAGAATAAGTTAAAGACTGGTTCGGGGATTTCAGCTTTTCACACTTGGACCAAGTACTGCTCAAGACCATAAGGGCCTAGAGAAAAATTCAGCTTTAGGCATCATAACTATCATGTCATTTATTTTTATGTCTGAGAAAAGGAAGAGGCTCCTAGTAACAGGCTTTGATACTAAATGCTAGTATGAACAGATTGTGTCTCATCATAGAGTTGCACAGCACAAGGAATTCTGAACAGATTTTTACAGAGAAAATCACTTCTCTAATCATGCTGCTGTGGTTAATAATACGTAATACTATGCTGTCACTATATACATCACTTCACATATATATTAAGATATTTTATATACGGTGAAACCTGTGAGAGCTGGAACTTGATGGGACTGCCTTGTTTTTCTGGATCTCACAAGTTTTCTGCCTTTCACAGGGCGCAGTCACTACTTTTCTATTGTTCTCTTTCTAGTGGAAAATATTTGAGATTTCCTTATCTGATAGGTTTCGGCCTTACACAGCTTACAGCTTTTGTAGGTTTTACTGTATATTGTATATCTACGTCACTATAGATCTAACATAGGTCCCTGGGTGGTGCAAATGGTTTGCACTTGGCTACTAATCAAAAGCTTGGTGGTTTAAACCCACCCAGTGTAGCACGGAAGAAAGCCCTGACAATCTGATTCTGTAAAGATTACAGGCAAGAAAACCCTACGGAGCTCAGTTATACTCTGTAACCCAAAGGATCACTATGAGTCAGAATCGACAGGGCAGCAGTGGTTTTTGTTTTTTATTTTAAATAGATCTAATACTATAATATCTAACAATTTTTATAACACTTCCTATGTACATGTACTATGGACTCCCTCCAACGATGTACACATATTAACTTATTTAATCCTCAGAATAACCCTGAGGTGGGAACCATTACTATCTTCATTTTACAGATGAGGAAACCAAGGCACAGAGAGGGTAAGTAACTTAGCCAAGTTTTAGGAAGTAATGGAGCTGGGATTTGAACACAGGAAGTCTGGTTTTAGGGCCCACACTAGTGCTCTCACTACACTGCCTCCTGAGAGTAACTCTAAGCTGAACTTCGGGGCGGAAGCAAGAAAACAAGTCCTCCAAAGAGCACGCGTCGTGTCTGTGTCTTCTGTGAGCAGATTAAGTAGGAAACTAGATGACACAGTTATGGCGCAGAGATGAAACATCACTCAACTTACGCACAGAACTCATTGGGAGCTACTCAACTGCCATATTTACCATGCAGTCCCCAGATGATTTAGAAAATTTGTCCATGTTGTCTGATATTCTTTATTGGCTATTTTTATGTTGTAGGGCTGAGTTAATGGGAATCTATTTAAAACCAGGGACTTCGAGGACACTTGAGTTAAGTTTGGAGTTAAGTGAGAAATTCACCAGAGAATTCTCAATATTCTGGAATGGTCTCCCTAACATTGGTCTGCCCTACGCTGCCTGGCTGTCTCTATCAGAGGGAGGAAAGTCCAGAGATCCCTCACTCACTCTGTGTACCTCATTCTCTGAAAAGCATGAAGGGACCATGAGAAGCTAGGGACTGGGAAGTAGAATCGAGCAGAAAAGTCAAAGGCACAGACAGCACCCACAGGGAGGATCAAGGGTGGGCAATGGGGCATGCCTGTGGCAAGCGTGCCTACTCACTGCCCAGCCGGGCTCTCATCTCCATGGCTCTCACCTGGATAAGCATCTGCTGGAGCTTCTCTCTCCGTCACCCAGGTTTCTTTATCTTGTTCCAAATGGGATATCTTCCCAGATTTGAAAGGCTGTTGCCCTGAAAATGCAAGAAGATGCAAGGTTTAGGCTCGCTTTCTAGACATAAAAATAACATGCAAATGTAGTCCCAATCCCATGATCTTCAGGCGTTCGAAGGACAGACAAGTAAAAGATCCAGGACTGGCCAAATAAAGCGACTTTAGGACAGTTCTACAAATAAAGGTTTTAACCTGGGTATAAAGACCAGAACATCCTCTCTAGGGAATAAGAACAATCCAATAAGTTAAGTTTCAGTACCCGGAGGGGTTGCCCTTACCCGCAGAGACCAGGTTCCTGAAGCTCTCCAGCATCACATCTCTGTACAGCTTCCTCTGGTCAGAGTCCAACAGTTCCAGCTCCTCCTCGGTGAAGACCACAGCCACGTCCTTGAACGTCAACGACTCCTAAAATGTGAAGCACCATTAACACAAACATCCACTAGATGAAAGGTAAATTCGGCATTATTAAGAAAAGCAGATAAGAAAGCAGGAAGTTCATCAGTGTGGACAGTCACACCAAGTGTTATGACAGATGCCCGTAATTTCGAGTGCACCAACTGGTCTCCCGTGGTTGGCCAGAGTAAAGCAAGGAACATTCTTTGCTCGGTCTGAGCACTTCTGAGAGTAATTCCTAGCACTGGACTCTAACTTAGAGACTACCAACTTTTCCTCCAAAAAGACTGATAACTTCCAGTTCCGACAGTGCCTAATCCAGAGTGCCCATGCCTACACACATACTCCACCTGAGTATTATCACTGCTCTCTGCCAGATGAGAGCTCCTCACCAATCATCCATCCACTCACCCCACCATTAGGAGTTGCACAAATCCTGCTCTTTGCCACCACCAGTCAACAGTTGCCTTTGGTCAATCCCGACTCATGGCGACCCCATGTATGTCAGAGTAGAGCTGTGCTCCATAGGGTTTCCAATGGCTGAAATTTTTGGAAGCAGGTCACTCTTCTTCCCAAGGTATCTCTGGTGGACTCAAACCTCCAAGCCTTTTGGTTAGCAGCTGAGTGTATTAACCATTTGCACCACCCAGGGGCTCCTTTCTTGCCACAGCCCCCCTTTCCACAGGCTTCCATGTTAGCACTTGGCCAAAAGCAACTAACGTGTGTTGGTGCAACCATCTTCCCAGCCAGGTAAGACCTCTAAAGCAGCGGTTCAAACCGTGGAGTTTCAAACCATGCTGTATCATCCTCGGTTATGAAGTAGAGAACAAGTTTTTTAAGCTAATTGCTCCAGTGAGAAAACATGGCAGTTACGTATTTTGAACTATAGCTCTCAACTACATCATGATGACATTATCACTTTCACTCGCTTGGACTGCGACATGCTTCCTAGAAAGGAGGACAAGCGTACACGTGGGCTTTCATGATCACTCCACCTGCAGCCTGTTCCTGGAATACCTGCGGCAAGGTTTTCAAGGTAAGAGTTGTGATTCCACAGGTACTTCACTTTTTTTTTTTTGACCATGGATACATTTTTAATAAGAAGGAAGGCGAGGTAGCTATAGAAAGGTTTACCGCATGAACACCAACCTACTACTCATATAAGAAATGGTCGGTGTTACTCCCCAGGGATTAGAGACAAGCAAGAAAGACACAGCCCTGTCTCCGTGGGTCTTGTGTTGGGGGTCCTCAAGATCACCCCCAGGTTCCAGGATTCACCTGGAGGACTCACAGGACTGGGCATAGTCATACTCATGGCTGTGATTCATTACAGCAAAAGGATATACAGCAAAATCAGCAAAGGGAAAAAAGCACACGGGGTGAAATCCAGAGGAAACCACGCACAAGCTTCCAAGAGTTCTTTCCTCTTGTAGCCACATACGACATGCTTCATTTTTCTAACAGATTGTGACAACCCGTGTGAAATGTGGTCTACCAGGAAAGCTCGTTAGAGACTCAGTACCCAGGGTTTTTACTGAGGGCTGGGCACAAGGCACCGTCTGCCTAGCATGCACCAAAATTCCAGACTCCCAGAAGAAAGCAGGTGTTCAGCATAAACTATGCTGTTAGCACAGACAGGTTAGGCACAGTGAGCCATTTTTATCAGGGAATGCTGGGAAGCTTCCTGAAATCCAGTTCCCAGACACTAGAATCTACATTGACTAGACTTTTTGGAGGAAAAGGGAAGCTTGCTATTAAAAAAAAAAAAAAAATCAGAATCCTTAGAAACATAAAAAATGACTTCCATTTAAAAAGTACACACATACACACACAAAAACCCACCTAAACATATAATCAATGATCATTCTTTGAATACCTGTTCTGATTTAGAATAAATTCCTGGAGTGGGAAATTATGGATCAGAGGTACACACAACTTCCCAAGAGCAGAAATGATTTTACTCTCCCTCTGCCTACAAGTGTGTGGATGCACCCAGTTCTCTACACTCAGCCTAACGGTAGACACGGATTTTTCAAATCTTGGGTCATATGCTAGAAGAAAAACCGTATCTCATTTCAATCTGCAATGCACTGATTAATAGGGTGATCACCTTTTTATATGATTATTGGTCATCTGTTTTTCTCCTCTTCTCCATCCTGAACAAGAATGCTCAGGTCTTTATTCATACCCTTCTTTCTAAACTACTCAAAACCAAAAAATCCAAACCCGTTGCTGTTGAGTTGATTCTGACTCATAGCGACCCTATAGGACAGAGTAGAATTGCCCCATAGGGCTTCCGAGGCTGTAATCTTTATGGAAGTAGACTGCCAAATCTTTCTACTGGGGAGCAGCTGGTGGGTTCGGAGTGCGAACCATTTGGTTAGCAGCCGAGCACTTAACCACTGTGCCACCAGGGCCTCTTTTTCAAAGTAAGAATATTAAAATGCTGTCATAGTTGAAAGCCACCCCCACCCTATTACGCTTTTTTAAATTTTGTTCATGGTGTACTTTTTGGTATGGATGGAGAATATTTTATCTAGGAATGAATTTAAAAAATGCCCCATAGAGGAGAAAGCCTCTGACGAAGAAGGAGGATTCATTATTTGTAGTCACCTCACTACATAATTTGGGCCCAAGGCTCTAGATGAGACTAGTATTGACAGGTGGTACATAGAGCAGATAGACAATTATGGAGTCGGTGGAGTAAAGGGTTAACCTAGCAGCCGTGGATTGTCTAAACCCTGCACATTCCAAAGAAAGGTTGGCCCTTGACCTAGTGCTGGGAGATAATCTATAAAACCTTGGAATATCCTGTCTGATAAGAGTGACTTTGTTTACCTGGGGCCTTAGGCCACACCAAACAGCTTATGCTAACAATGTGACTTATGTATGGTGGGAGTCTTGGGCCACACCAGATGGTCTGTGCTAACAATGTGGTTTACGGTGGGGGACTTGGGCCACTGTATCAGTTGGGCCTCTGGAAGGGCTGGAGACTGAGTAAAGTCAGTTATGCAGCCAATTAGCCACAACTACATGATTGACCCCCACCAAAATCCCAGACCCCAAGGCTCAGGTGAGCTTCCCTGGTTGGCAATACTTCATGCACGTTGTCATGCATCATTCTGGGAGATTTAATTCAGCATTGTCTGTAAGACTCCCCTGGGAGGGAATAACTGGAAGCTTGTACCTGCTTTCTCTTGGCCTCTGCCCTACGTGACTTTTTCTGTTGCTGGATTTTAATCTGCATCCTTCACTGTAATAAACCATATACTCATGTACAACATCTCTGCTGATTTCTGTGAGTCCTTCTAGCGAATCACTGAAACTGAGGGTGGTCTTGGGGGCCCCTGGCAACAGCTGTACTGACCTGGGTTCACATCCAGGATTCATCACTTGTTTCTTCATTTCTCAAACAGAACCACACTCCATCTGCCACAGCTGTTTTGTGGGTAAGTGCAGTGAATCATGCAATGTACCCACAGACCACATTTTCATCTCTTTTTCCTTTCATGAAGTGAGGAAAAGATGTTTACTCTCTGGTGCACAAAGTGGTATTTCTGGAGAGAAAAGATGACTCAACTCACCTGAAACTTAATCTCATCCTCTTCTTCTGGGAAAGGGGCTGAGGCTTGAGAACAAATCCCTGCAGGAAGAGAAAGAAGCCATGAGGAAGAGATGGTGCCCCTACTTTGGGCTCTTAAACGGTCGACCTGAACCTTAGGAAAGAGTGTAGCTTTGTGTATTGGTTTCCTTGCACCTAAAGAATTCCTTTTTCACCCAACTGTTTCCCCACTCACACCCAGCTTGGATTCTCTCTGACCCCACAGCCCTCACTAACTCTCACCTCTCTCCTCATGTCTTGAGGTCAAAGTCTCCATGGTCTCCTCTCCTGGGCTTTCTGAACACAGCGGTGCTTTTATTTGTTCTCTGATCTTCCTAAGCTGGAGAAGCAAAAAGACAAAGGGTTTCTTCATTCGTGAGATTCTCCAAGCTCTGACAAGGAGTGTCAGATGGATATCTGCTGTCGGAAGTGCCTGCCGTGCCTGCCTCCCGCTTTGCTCTCCAGAGCCCGACTGGTTGCCATATGCCGGGACCTGGTCTGAGCCATAAAGGAGTAAGTAAGACAGGGCTCACAGGACTCAAAAGATTAAGAATCCTCCACAGCAGCCCTCTGAATGTCTGAACACAGTCCAGGGAAGAGGAGCACAGGGGCTGCTAAGGTTTTCTTGCAACCTGACAAGGACAGTGACGAAGATAATTCCACCTATGAGCGTGATGAGTTGGAAAAAGAGGACGATCCCCCTCGCCTGTACCTTGTTCTTGCTTCCTTCAAAAAAAAAAAAAAAAAAATTAGGGATGGGGCCAAGGTCTCCAGGTCCCCGCTGGGGACTGGTGGCCCTATGTCCCCATTAGCGTACCAAAGGGAAAAGGGGGATCTAAAACTTCATGGGGCTCTCAGATATAGGTGCCCAAATGATGATAATCCCAGGCCCCCACAGGGGAAAAGGCAAGCTGGTGGCACTGGGCGATATAGGGTGGGCATGGTGACCCATGGCAGGCAAGTGTGCATGCGCTTGTGAGTGGGGCCTCTGGGGCCGTTTTGGGGGCTGGGGATCCTGGTTCCCACTGCTGAATGCACTACAAGTATTGACATTCTTTCCCCTGAAGGGATGCACCCCTACAACAGAGAGCTAGAGCCATAACTGTGGAAAGAGTCCACTTCCACCAGCCACCCAAACTGTCCAAAGCCAGCTGGGTTACTTAACAAAAGCAGAACGGCACTCCAGGTAGAAGAGAACTTGACCCTATTGGTTCAGGACTTGCTACAGCAGGAGTGTTAACGACCACCCTGTCGCAGTTTAACAGCCCAGTGTGAATGCCTGCAAAAAAAGGCCTCAGGAGCCTGGAGGCTGAAAACAGACAACCACAGACTGAATGCAAGGTGCCATTCTTGGCAACTGCAGTACCTGGTATTACTGCCATCACTGAGGTGGCGGCAGCCCACAGGGTAGATTAACACCCTGTTACTGATCTAATGCCTCCTTTTACATCCCTTTGCAGGACAAAGATCAGGACTAATTTGTGTTCACGTGGAACGGCCTTATCAGTTAAAAAACCTGTCATCAAGTTGACTCCAACTCACAGCGACCCTATGTGTGTCAGAGTAGAACCATGCTCCACAGGGTTTTCAATAGCTGATTGTTCAGAAGTAGAATGCTAAGCCTTTCTTCTGAGGCATCTTTGGGTAGGCTCAAACTTCCAACCTCCCAGTTAGCAGCCAAGTGCGTTCACTGTCTACACTACTCAGGCTCCTTCAATGCACTTCTGCAGGAACACTCAATTCCCAGGTAACATGCCACCAATGGGTGGGGCTACACTTGCAATAACTTGCCAACTACTCCCAGAAAGACTTGTCATTCACTACATGGATGGCATACTCACTGCAGGCCTTGCATAAGGTCATAAACATTACAACATACACAGGTTAGGGCATCAACCCTGATAAGGTCCAACGACCTGCCCGAAGTACACCAGGAATCAGACAAGTATCCCTGATTAGATTTAAAAAAAAAATGCTATCCTTGGTAGTTCCCACCAACAAGAAAGAGGCTCAAAAGCTGATAGGCCTGTTTAGCTCCTGGAGACAACATAAAATATATCTGGGCATTCTTCTGGCTCCTCCAATTAAGCTCACCTGCAAGATGGCCACTTTGAATGGAGCCCCCAACAACAGCAGGTTCTAGAGGCCATACAACACTCAACTGCACAGGTTCTGCCACTGGGGCCAATGAAGCCTGCCAGCCCTACAGAGCTATGGTCTTGGTGACACCTGTCAATGCGAACTGGACAGCAAAAAACTGCCACTGGGGTGCTTTGGCTCCCCAGGTTTTGGACACAGACTAACTGAGGCAGCCACTAGGTATATCCCTTTCATGCGGTAGCTTTTAGCCTGTTATTGGACCTGAGTGGAGACTGAGCATTTAACCACTAAAGTACCCTATATGACTTTAAGACCAGAACTGCCCATCCTCACGTGGGTACTCACTAATCCTGCTAAAACAGGAAAGGTTCAGCAGTGCTCCATTGTTAAATGAAAATAGTATATCCAAGATCAAGTCAATGCAGAAAAGGCATCTGATAAAATCCAACACCTTTTCCTGATAAAAATTCTCAGCAAAATAGGAATAGAACAGAAATTCCTCAATATCGTTAAGGGCATATATGCAAAACTAACAGCCAACATTATTCTTAGTGGTGAAAGAGTGAGAGCCTTCTCTTTGAAAACAGGAATGAGAAAAAGATGCCCATTATCACCACTCTTATTCAGTATTGTACTGGAAGTCCTAGCCAGAGCAGTAAGGCAAGAAAGAGAAATAAAGCGTATCCAGATTGGAAAGAAAGAAGTAAAACTATCCCTATTCACAAATGACATGATCCCATACTTAGAAAATCCCAAAAATTCCATAAGAAAACTTCTGGATCTAACAAGAATTCAGCAACGTTGCAGGGTGAAAGACAGACACACAAAAATCAGTTGGGTTCCTTTACACTCACAGGGAGAAACATGAAAAAGAAATCGAGAAAAGTATACCATTTACAAGAGCCCTCAAAAGGATAAAATACCTAGAATAAACCTAACCAGGGATGTAAAGGACTTATACAATAAAAACTATAAAACTATAGTTTTTATAGAACTATAAAACCATAGTGTTTTATAAAACACTATTATTGCTGTGTGCCATTAAATCTACTCTGACTTACAGCAACCCTATATGACAGAGTAGTACTGCCCATAGGGTTTTCTAGGTTGTAATCTTTACGGGAGCAGATCGCCAGGTCTTTTCTTCTACAGAGCTGCTGGTGGGCACGAACCGCCAACCTACCGGTTAGCAACCGAGTACTTAACCGTTGCACCACTAGGACTCCTTAACATTATGACAAGAGATTAAAAGAGACCTACATAAATAGAAGAACACTACATGCTCGTGGATTGGTAGACTTAATAATATGAAAATGTCAATTCTACCCAAAGCAATCTATAGATACAATACAATCCTGATCAGATGCTAACCAAATTATAACAACCTTCCTTACTGAAATGGAAAAACTAAATCATCAACTTTATATTGAAAAGAAAGAGGCCTCGAATAGCCAAGCAATATTGAAAAAGAACAAACGAGGAGGCCTCACACTCCCGAATCTCAAAACAATACACAGCTATGGTACTGGTTCAACAACAGACACATACACCAGTGGAACAGAATTGAGAACCCAGAAATAAATCCATCTCTCTGTGGGCAGCTGATTTTCAACGAAGTGTCAGAGTCCATTCAGTGAGGAAGAAAACAGTCTCTTTAACAAACGGTGCTGGCAAAATTGGATGTCCACTTGCAGAAAAATGAAACAGGACCCATACCTCACACAACACACAGAAACTCAAAATGGATCAAAGATCTAAATGTTAAAGCTAAAACTATCAAGTTCTTAGAAGATAACATAGGGACAAAACGATGGGACCTAATTAAAAAAAAAAAAAGATTATCAAACACAATGCAAATACACAAACAGCAGAAGACAAATTAGATAACTGGGACCTCTTAAAATTAAATACTCATGCTCATCAAAAGACTTCAACAAACAGAGTAAAGATAACCTACAGACTGGAAAGAAATCTTCAGGAACGACATATCCAACAGGGGTCTAACCTTGAAAATATACAGAAAAATCCAACAACTCAACAACAACAAAACAAACTAACCAATTTAAAAACAGCCAAAGTCCATGCACAGACACTTCACCAAAGAAGACATTCAAGCGGCCAGCAAACACAGGAAACGATGTTCTGGAACATTAGCCATTAGAGAGATGCAAATCAAAACTGCAGTGAGATAGCACCACACCTGTTAGAATGGCACTGATAAAAACACAAAAAACAGAAAACAACAAATGCTGGGGAGGATGCAGGGAGACTGGAACCCTTATCCATTGTTGGCAGAATTGTAAAATGGTACAACCACTAAGGAAAACAGTATTGGTGCTTCCTCAAAAAACTAGAAACAGAGCTACCTTATGATCCAGCATCCCACTCCTACGTGTAATAGCACCCCAGGAGATCTGATAGCAGTGACACGAACAGACGTATGCACATCTGTGTTCACTGCAGTGCTCTTCACAATAGCAAAAAGATGCAAGCAACCTAAGTGCCCATCAACGGATGAATGGTTAAACAAAAAACAAAATGTGGTACATACATACAATGGAATACTATGCAGCCATAAAGAATGATGAGTACTTGAAACATAATGTGTAATGTGGATGAATCTGGAGGGCATTATGCTGAAATAAGTAAATCACAAAAAGACAAATATTTTATGATCTTGCTTTTCTAAAAAGATAAGAATAGGTATACATAAAGAGACAAACATTCATTGGTGGTTACCACGGTTCGGGGAGGATCACTCTCTAGATACTAGACACTTGTTATTTTTGGTGATGGGAAATACCAAATATGGGTGAAGTGTGCACAGCCTGACAAAGGCAAAAGATGTCACTAAGATGTACACAGTAAAAAAGGACACTTTAGTAATTGCTATGGCATATATAATTTTTTTTTCCTTTTTTTTTTTTTATTGTACTTCAGCTGAAGGCTTACAGAACAAATAGTTTCTCATGAAACAGTAGTACACATATTGTTTTATGACATTGGTTAACAACCCCACAACATGTCAACCCT